GAAACTGAAGCAAGTAATTTATTAGATATAGAATTCAAAGGAATGGTTAGGAGGATGCTGAAGGAACTTAGTGAAAACTACTAAGAACTTGGTGGGAAGTACATCAGCATAAAAAAGAACATAGAAACTATGAATAAGAAGCAGTTGGAAGTGAAGAATGCAATGTCTGAAATACAGTAAAAGAATACACTAAAAGGAATTAAAAGCAAGCTAGACTAATCAGTGATTTGCAAGACAAGGTAGGAAAAAAACACCACCTCAGAGCAACAAAAAGAAAAAAGACACAAAAAGGCTGAGGATGGTTTAAGGGAGCTTTCAGACAATATAAAATGTAACAATATCTACATCACAAGGATACCAGAGGAAGAATGTGAAGTAAGCAAGGGATAGAAAACCTTTTTGAAAAAATGACAGAAAACTTCCCTAATCTGCTGAAGGAAAAAGTCACACAAGTTCAGGAAGCAAAGAGAGTACCAATCATGGAGAACCCTCCAAAAACATAACTAAGACAACATCATAATTAAAATGAAAAAGTTTAAAGACAGAGAGAAAATTAAAGGGAGCAAGGGAGAAATAGCTGACAACATAAAAGGGGGTTCCAATAAGACTGTCAGCTAATTTCTAAACAGGAACACTTCAGGCCAGAAGGGATTGCTATGAGGTATTCAAAGTAAAGAAAAGCAAAGACGTGCAATCAAGACTATTCGACCCAGCAAGGTTATAGTTTAAAATTGAAGGTAAAATAAAGAGCTTCCTAGACATAAAAAAAAAAGCTAAAGGAGTTCATAAACACATCCCAGCATTATAAGAGATGTTAAAGGGACTGCTGTAAGAAGAAGAAAAAAAAAAGAAGAACATAGGTATAGAGTAATAAAATGGCAATGTATAAGTATCTATTGATAATAATCAAATTTAAATGGATTAAATGCTCTAATCAAAAAACATAGGGTAGCTGAATGAAAAAGAAAATATGACCCATATATATGCTGTCTACAAGAGACTCACCTCAGAACAGAAGATTCACACAGGTTGAAAGTGAAGGAATGGAAAAATATTCCATGTAAATGGAGATTAAAAAAATCCAGGGTAGCAATACTTATATCTAACAAAATAGTATTCAAAACAGATACCATAAAAAGAGAGATTGATTCAGCAAGAGGATATGACTTTTGTAAACACATATGCACCCAATATAAGAGCTTCTAAATATATAATGAAAATATTGGTGGGCTTTAAGGAAGAGATAAACAGCAATACAGTCATTGTAGGGGATTTTAACACCCCACTGTCAAAAATGGATAGATCTTCAGAAAAAAAATAAACAAGGAAAGAGCGACCTTAAATGACACACTAGATTGAATAGATCTAATTGTTATTTACATAACATTACATCCCAAAGCAGCAGAATACATATTCTCCTAAAGTGCACATGGGTCATTCTCAAAAATAGGCCACATGGTAGGACACAAAATAAATCTTAACAAATTCAAGAAAATTGAAATCATATCAAGTATTTTCTCATATCACAATGACCTGAAACTAGAAATCAACCTCAATTAAAAAAAAACAAAACAACCTCAAAAACATTCAAATGCATGGAGGCTAAATAGCATGTTATTAAATAATGAACGTGTCATCAATGAGATAAAGGAAGAAATCAAAAAGCGCTTGGAAACAAATGAAAATAAACACACAAAAACCCAAAACATATGAGACACAGCAAAAGCAATCCCAAGTGGATAGTTCATAGCATTACAGGTCTACCTAAAGAACATAGAAAAATCTCAAATAAACAAACTAACCCACACTTAAAAGAACTAGAAAAACAACAAGCAAAGCCCAGAGTGAGTAGAAGGAAGTAATAGAGATCAGAGCAGAAATAAATGACATAGAGACAAAAAAAATTCAGAAGATCATTGAATCTAAGAGCTGGTTCTTTGAAAAGATAAAGTTGATGAACATTTAACCAGTCTCATTAAGAAAAAAAAGAGAGAGGATCCAAATTAATAAAATTAGAAATGAAAGGGGAGAAATAACAACTGATGCCACAGAAATAGAAAAGGTTGTAAGGAAACATTATTAACAACTATCTGCCAAGAAATTGGACAACCTGCAGAAAATGGATAAATTTCTAGAAACATACAAGCCTTCTAAAACTGAATCAGGAAGAAGCAGAGAACCTGAATGGACCAATAACAACAAATGAAACTGAAGCATTAATCAAAAAAGTTCTAGCAAACAAAAGTCCTGGATTAGATGGCTTCACAGGCAAATTTTACCAATCTTTCAAAGAAGAACTAACAGCTATCTTTCTCAAACTATTCTAAAATATTTAAGAAGAGGGAAAACTTACAAGGTCTTTTTATGAGGCCAGTATTATCCTAATTCCAAAACAGATAAAGACACAACAAGGAAAAAAAACTATAGGCCAATATCCCTGGTGAACATAGATGCTAAATCCTAACAAAATATTAGCAACTGGATCTGGTAATACATAAAAAGATCATATATCATGATCAAGTGAGATTTATTCCAGGCATGCAAGGTTGGTACAATATTTGCAAACCAATAAATTTGATACATCTCATAAACAAAATGGAAGATAAAAATCACATGATCATAATAGATTAAGAAAGAGCATTTGCAAGAATCCAGCACAAATTTATGATAAAAACTCTCAGAAAAGTGGGAATAGAGAGATCATACCTCAACATAATAAGGGTCATATGTGAAACACTGAAAGCCAACACCATATACTCAATGGGAAAAATCTAAAAGCATTTACAGTAAGGTCAGGAACAAAACAAGGATGTGCATTTTTACCACTCTTATTCAACATAGTACTGGCAGTTCCAGGCATAGTGATCAAGCAAGAAGAAGAAATAAAAGGCATCAGAATTGGAAAGGAGGAAGTAAAATTGTTTTTATTCACAGACAATATGATATTGTGCAGAGAAAACTCTATAGGCTCTACAAAAAAATAAAAGCTCCACAAACTACTAGACCTAATAAATAAATTAGACAAAGCAGTGGAAAACAAAATCAATATGTAGAAATCTATGACATTTTTATACACCAATAATTATCGGAAAGAGAAACTAAGAAAACAATCCCATTTACTATTGCAACAAAAAGATATAAGGGACCTAGGAATAAATTTAACTAAGGAAGTAAAAGACCTGTACATGGAAAACTATAGGCCACTGAAGAAAGAAATTGAGAAAGATATAAATAAGTGGAAGCATATAATGTATTAATGGATTGGAAGAATCAACATCATTAAAATGTCCATTCTACCCAAAGAACTCCATAGATTCAACACAATTCTTATTAAAATACCAATGGCATATTTCACAGATCTAAAACAAGCATTCCAAAAATTTATGTGGAACCAAAGAAAACCCCAAATATCCTTAGCAATCTTGAAAAAGAAGAACAAAGTTGGAGGGCTCACATTACCTGATATCAAACTATCCTATAAAGCCACTGTAATCAAAACAGTCTTGTACTGGCATAAAGACAGACACATAAATGAATTAAACAGAATAGAGAGCTCAGATATAAACCCACGCCTTTATGGTCAATTAATATTTGACAAAGGAGGTAAGAGCATACATTGGAGTAAAGACAGTCTCTCCAGTAAATGGTGTTGGGAGAACTGGGCTAGTATTGGCAAAAAAGAAATGAAACTAGGCCACCAACTTATACCACACACAAGAATAAACTCAAAATGGAAAAAAAAACACTTAAATATGAGTTGCAATGCCATAAAAATACTAGAGGAAAACAGGCAGTAAAATTTCAGATATCTTGCATAACAATATTTTTGCTGCTATATCTTGTAGGGCAAGGGAAATAAAGGGAAAAATAAACAAATGGGACTACATTAAATTAAAAAGCTTCTGCACAGCTAAAGATACCATCATCAAAGTGAAAAGGGAGCTTACTATATGGGAGAACATATTTACCAATGATACATAGACAAGGGTTTAATCTCCAAAATATATAAAGAACTTTATACAACTCAACACTAGGAAGACAGGCAATAAAAAATCGGAAAAAGACCTGAATAGACCCTTCTCCAAGGAGGACATACAGAGGGCTCATGGACATATGACAAAATACTCAACATCACTAGCCATCAGAGAAATGCTAAATAAAACCACAATGAAATATCATCTCACACATGCCAAAATGGCTATCATTAATACATCAACAAACAAGTGCTGGTGAGGATGTGGAGAAAAGGGCACCCTAGTGCATCGTTGGTGGGAATGAAGACTGGTGCAGCCACTCTGGAGAACAGTATGGAGTTTCCTCAAAAAATTAAAAATGGAACTTCCTTTTGACCCAGCGATTCCACTACTTGGAATATATACTAAGGATTCTGAAGCACCAGTTCAGAAGAAAACATGCATCCCTATGTTCATAGCAATGTTATTTACAATAGCAAGATTTGGAATCACCCTAAGTGCTCATCAATAAATGAGTGGATAAAAATGCCCTGTACATTTACACAATGGAATACTACACAGCAGCAAAAGGAAGAAATTCTTCCCCCTTGTGACAGCATGGGTAGAACTGTTGACTATGATGCTAAGTAAAATAAGCCAATCAATGGAAGACAAATACCATATGATCTCACTTACTAGTGGAATCTAATGAACAATATAAACTAACAAGCAAAATAGAATAAGAGGCAAAGAAACATGGAACAGACTGACACCTGTAAGAGGGGAGGATAGAGGTGGGGACTAGATGAATGAAGGTGAAGGGATTAGCCAAAGAACATATATGAAGAACCCATGGACATGGACAACAGTGTGGGGATTGACTACGGATATGAGGGGTGGGCTGGGTGGAGGGGAGCAAAGGAAGAAAAATTGGGATAACTGTAATAGCATAGCAACAAATATTTTTAAAAAATAAAAATAATAAATTCTTCTCCTGGGAGCATAACATGCCCATGATTCCCACTGGGTTTTTTTCCCCTTTTTTACTCATGTTCCAGCACTTGAGGATAGAACCTGTAGACTGAAAACCATGAAGATATGATGCTAAGTGAACCAGATCCACTTCCTCTGCCTCCATACATTTCAGGGACTCGGATCCCGTGCCTGACTCCTGCCGAGGAAAGGCAGGTTGTCTCCAATTTTCATTGGTGATATACTCTCTATAGAATATTGTCACCCTAAAAGAAAGACAAGGTGAGGATTAACTATTAGATATTTAACTTCAGTGCTGCTTACCTTCAGTGATTTAAAATTTTCTATTTGTACTTTAAAAGTAAGTTTCTGAGATTGCTTATCTAGGATTAATAAGAGGCAAGAGTAAGAATATATGACTATAAGAAGTCATGGGTAACAGAGATGCTAATAGTAAGTTCCAGGGTTCAGGTAGGATGGTTGGAAGAAAAAAAGAGTAGAAGTATGAGAGAGGGAGAGGGGGATTTATTCATAATATTTACTCATTAGTTATGATCATAATATAGACATTTTGTCAAGACATTTATTCATTTACTAATCAAATATATGTTAAATGATGTTATGTTAGGTGCCAGGGAATCAAATACAAATAGGATATCATCAAATAGTGAAAAGAAATCTTCAGAAGTTTACAGAAGGGATGTTAAACAAAATTCTGTGGGAATTTAGAGCAAGACTAAAGTTTCTTTATTATTCTTGAGAAGGTAAAAGAAGTTTCTGGAAAAGAGGTCTTGAAGGATGGGTGGAAGATTTTCATTGACAACAGATATTTCATGAAGATCTATTATGTGTCAGGCTTTCTTCTTGCTGCTAGGAATGCAGCATCGAGCAACAAAATTCTTGCCCTTGAAGAGCCTTCATTCTGGAAGGGGGAAGGCAGAAAATTAGCATACAGTATTTTTTTTCCTTATAAGTGATACACAGAAAAATCAAGCAGAATGATGAGTTGAAAAATAATGGATGGTGTAATTTTTTTATAGGTATGGACAGGGATGGCTTCATAAAGATGACATTTCAGCACAAATGTGATGGGAGGAGGGTGTCACATGGATATCTAGGGTGTGAGCATCGCAGGCAGGGGAGACAACAAGCATAAAGACCCGGAAGTAGGAACATGCTTGACATGTTTAAGTTCACTAAGGAGGCAAGTGTGGCTGAAGCAAAACAAGCAAGAAGGAGAGCAATAGAATATGAGATCATAGAGATATCGAGGGACCATGTTAGAGAGAGTCTTGTAGCTTATGCAAGAATTTTGTATTTTACTCTAAATAATATGGAAAATCACTGGATGGTTTTGATTAGAACAACATGATGATTGTGCTGTTGGGTAAAGAATAGATTAACTGTGCATTGGAGAGGAGGTGAGTAACGATGAAGGCAGGGAGGCTTGTTAGGAGTCTGTCACAATATTCTAGTTAGAGGGTGATGGTGGCTCAGATCTGAGTGGCAGCAGCAAGAATAATGAGAAATGGTTGGATTTTGGATATATTTTAAAATTGGAGCCCAGTGGATTTGTTATCACATTGGGTGTAAGATGTAAGAAAAAGACGAGCGTCAAAGATGACTTCATGGTTTCTGACATGGAGCAACTATAAGGTTGACATGTAACCTTACATAACATGGAGAGACTGATTACAGTAGACGGTGAAGGCTGCAGAAGAAGTAGATGTGCTGGGGGAGGTATGGAAATTAATGCTTGTGTCTTAATATGTCAGATTTTAGATGTCTGTTTATTAGACTCCAGGTAGAGATGTTGAGTAGATTATTGACCATTATGAGCCTGGACTTCAGGGGAGGAATTAAAGCTAAAAAAATGAATTTGAGCAACACATTAAAGAGACCAGAAAGATACATATTTTTTTTTCTGATACTTGACACTTTATTTCATGATAAATATCTCCTGCTGCAGTGCTGGGTAAATTTAATATCAATATATATGGAATATATATGTGTGTACACACACACACACGTGGAATCATATACATTTATGGAATAAATATATATGGAATCAGATATGCTTATGGAATGATATATATTTAAGTAAATATAATATATATGGAACCATAGTCTCTAGTTCAGAACATACATACAAATCAATTCTATATGAACTTTTAAAATATTAATAGACTTTATATTTTTTATTTTTTTAGACTTTATATTTTAGAGCTGTTTTAAGTTTACAGAAAAATTGAGCAGATGGTACTGCCTCCTCCTAGCTCACCATTTCTCCTAATTTTAGCATCCTGCATTAATTTGGTACATTTGTTACAATTGATAAACCAATATTGATACATTATTATTAATTAAAGTCCATAGTTTAGGATTCTCTTTGTACTGTACAGTTCTGCAGATTTTGTGAAATGTATAAAGTTCTTCACCTATTCATCTTTCCCAGCCCTCTGTACAAATCCATGGCAAAAACTGATCTTTTTATTGTCTATGTAGTTTTGCCCTTCCCAGAATCTCATGTAGTTGGAATGATAGAGTAAGTAATGTTTTAAAACTGGCTTCTTTCACTTAGAGATATGTATTTAATGTTTCTTCATATCTTTTTATGGCTTGATAGGTCATTTCTCTTTTGTGCTGAATAACATTCCATTGTATGGATGTACCATAGTTTGGTTTATCCATTTATCTATTGAAGGATCTCTTGGTTGCTTCCAGTTTTGGACAATTATAAATAAAGCTGCTATAAACATTTATGTGGCCATAAGTTTTCACCTTCTCTGGGTAAATACCTAGAAGCACATTGGTATTTTTATGGTAAGTCTATCTTTATCTTTCTAAAAAACCATGAAACTGTTCTCCAAAGTGACATACCATTTTGTATTCCCAACAGTAATGAATGAAAACTGTTTTTCCACGTCTTTGACAGCATTTGGTATTGTCAGTGTTTAGGTTTGCTTTAACCATTCTAATCAGTATGTAATGATACCTCATTATCGTTTTAATTTGGAATTCATCAATGATATATGACATTGAACATCTTTTCATTTGCTTACTTGTCATCTGTATATTGTCTTTGGCGAGGTGTCTGTTTAGATCTTTTGTCCATCTTTTAGTATTGTTTGTTTTCTTTTGTGAAATTTTGAAAGTTCTTAGTATATTTTGGGTGCAAATCCTTTATCAGATACATGTTTTGTAAAGGTATTCTCTCAGCTTGTGGCTTTCCTTTTCATTTTCTTAACAGTGTCACAGAGACGATTTTAATTTTAGTAAAGTCCAATATACCAATTTTTTCTTTCATAAATTATGCTTTTGGTGTTTTGCATCTAAAAACTCATTGTCAAACCCAAGACCACCTAGATTTTCTCCTATGTTATCTTCTAGAAGTTTTATAGCTTTGTGTTTTATGGTTGGGGCTATAATCTGGTTTGGGTTAATTTTCGTGAAAAGTGTAAGGTCTGTGTCTAGATTAATTTTCTTTTTTGCATCTGAATGTACACTTGTTCCTGCTAAGACCATTCTTTCTCTATTGGGTTGCTTTTCTTCCAGTAATTTTTCTTTCTTATAATGCCTCTTCCATTGAATTTTGACATTTGGGTAACGTTGGCCTAGGAGAATGAATTAAGAAGTGTTATCTCTGCTTCCATTTTCTGGAAAATATAGAAGAAAATCACTATCATTTTTACTTAAATGTATGGAAAAATTCACCAGTGGAACCATCTCTTCTGGATGCTTTCTATTTTGAAAGGTTATTATTTGTTGATTCCATCTCTTTAAGATATAGGCCTATTCAGATTATTTGTTTCTCCTGTGTGAGTTTTAGCACATTGTATCATTCAGGGAATCACTCCACTTTATCTGATTTATCAAACCTGTGAGCATAGAGGTTTTTTTATAATAGTCACTTACTATTTTTGTAATGGCCAGGGGATCAGCAGTGATGGCCCCTCTTTCATTTCTGATATTAGTAATTGGTATCCTCTCTTTTTCTCTTGGCTCTAGAGGTTTATCAATTTTATTGATCTTTTCAAAGCACCTATTTTGGGTTTTGTTGTTTTTCTCTATTATTTCTCTACTTTCAACTTTATCGATTTCTGCTCTAATTTTTATGAGTTCTTTTCTTCTGCTTGCTTTAGGGTTATATGGCTTTTATTTCTCTAATTTTCTAAGGTTTAAGCTTAGATGATTGATTTTAGAACTTTCTTCTTTTCTAATATATCTATGCATTCAATGCTATAATTTCCCTTTAAGCCCTGCTTTCACTGAATCCTGCCTACTTTGATAAACATTTTCATTTAGTTAAAAATAGTTTTAAACTTTTTTGAAACTTTTTCTTGACCAGTATGTGATTTAGAAGTACATTGTCTAATCTCCAAGTGTCTTTCTGTTATTCATTCCTATTTTAATTCAATTGTGGGCTGAGAACATATGTTGTGTGATTTCTATTCTATTAAATTTTACAGATGTGTTTTAAGTCTCAGAATGTGGTTTGTCGTGGTAAATGTTCCACATGAATCTGAGAGGAATGTTATTCTGCTGTTGAAGTATTTTACAGTGTTTTGGGTTTCTAGCATTTCCTTTTGATTCTTACCCAGAGTTTCCATATGTCTGCTTACATTACTTATAAGTTCTTACATGTCCACTTTCTCATTAGAGCTCTTAGACTAGTAATCATAGTTATTTTAAATTCTTGCTCTAATAATTCTAAAATTCATATAAGAATTTTGTTGTGAAGTTTACTTTGTCTCTTCAGACTGGTGTTTTTTTTTCCTTGCCTTTTAGCATGACTTGTAATTTTTAGTTAAAAGGTAGACATAATGTATTGGGCAAAAGGAACTGAGGTAGATAGGACTTTAGTGTGAGCTTTTGTTTTCCTGGTAAGAAGCTAGGCTGTGTTTACTGTTTGCCATAGCTGTAGGTATCAGAGGCTTTAAGTTATTCTAGTGTCTTTGATTTTGTTCCCTCTGTTGTATTTGGGTTTCCTTAGAAACTTCTTAAATTGTCTGTATTTTGCAGTTCTCTCAGTTGTAATCCTCTGTTATTATCCTGGAACTCTGTTAATATAATGGCAAGATATTGGAATATTCTCTCTCTATTGTATCCTATACATATGTGATCGCAAGACATTGGGATAGTCTATAAAATAGCCTATCATTTTATGATTAGATACCTTTTTTAGAAACCCCCCCTTTTTTTGCATGGGGGAGAGTC